TGAATCACCATTTATGATAATATCGAATATATTCTTTTCTTAACACCATCTTATAAACTTAGTTAAATCCTGCTCTCTTTTAATTCTTATTACCTGTTCATCTTCTGATCGTCTTGATAGAATTGTTCCTTCTTTAATCCAAATATACTTATAATTTTTATTTCTAGCAGCGTTTGTAGTTGTAGATTTTTTTTTTAAATTCAGGTATTAGATGTTCATTTATAAACACTAGACCTTATTTATATTGTTCATTTATATCAGTCGTTTTGATAACTTTCTTCACTCTTTGTTGAAACTCTTTGTTGTTCGAAATTTGTACGATAATAGGCTTAGTTTATTTTTTATGTTTCCTGGTGTTACTCTATGGGCTATTTGAATATCTTTATCTTCTACAGTGATATTATCTGCCTTTGCAACTACTTGAAGAATTTCTCTAATATTCTCTTCATGTACTTCTGGTACTCCTTGAATTTCGATATTCATATTTCCTAAATACTGTTGAAGTTCAATTACTTGTTCTTTTAAGATGTTGATTTCCTGTTGCATATTTTTGTTTTGAACTAGGACTAGTTCCTGATTTTGTTGTTTAATTTCCTTTATATTAGCCATTATTTTTGACATCATTTATATAATATGAATTCAATAATTTTGTTTGAACAAAAATATATTGTTTTAAGATCGTTCATTTCAGCTTTACACATGAAGGTTTCCTGTCTGAATTCACACACGTTCTGTTTATTTATTTCCAATAGTTTAGTTTTAATTTTATCAAATGTTCAAACATTTTACCTTCACAAGTATTGTCCAACATTTTTATCTACTTGATGGTCACCTTGACTGGTTTCAGCACTCTCAATATCACGTAACGTTGTTATTTCCACCTACTTAGGACTAATTTTTTGAATTGGAAATGAACGATCCTGTTTTTTTACTATTTGGACATTTATAATTCTTTTTCTTTTCTTTACTTAATTTTCTATAATTTATTTCTTTCACTGCTACACAATAATAATGATGATATAACTTACAATCACAAAAACATTGTAAAACAATCATCTGAATCACTGATTACTTCGTCACGTCTACTACACGTTAGCGTCATCTACTTATAAGTATTATAGTTTTCCCAGTCTTGGTTTGTCTTTAACATCTAGCTATTGCATCCCAAAATACGCTAATAAGCTGAATGTTTGCGTATCTCGATATTATAAAGGAGCTGCATTTGGAAATACTTAGCGGTATATGCAAGTTTTATAGTAGACTAGCTGGAATACCCGTCCGTTGGACATGTGAAATAACTCGTTTGTAACAAATGATAGGAAATTGTGCTTCTATTTTTTCCTTAACATAATAAACATTAAAAGTGCAGTAAAAATACATAAAGGTACCAATACTGAAATAAAAGACGAACTCTTTCAAGAATTCTATCATTCTGAAATTAGATGGAGCCTCCAACCCACACCCCCTTCATGACTTTCCTCGTGTCATCCTGTATCACTGAATCAAGTTTGGTGCTGATTGATCAAGAAATGTGGAAACTTGTAAGGAACAGATATGAAATGATAGATATACGGCCGTGTATTTTTTTTCCCGGACACACTTTAAATTACTAGTCTACTATATAGTCTTCATGTAATGAAAGCTGTATTGTAATGTATAAACTCGACTTGTTGACCACTTACCTGTAGACTATCTAAAAAAAAACAGCTGCAAGATATCTGTAGCCTACCTAAACACATGGAAGGAAAACCGCTGACTGTCACTTATGTTACTACTGCCACCGGCGGCACTATTTTAAGCATGTTTTTTTCACCCTCTGGGTTTATCTTCGACGTTGGACAGCCATTGGCGACACTGCCGGATTGACTTTTTTAATTCTATTTAGTTTTTAGCATAATTTCTGGGTAATGTCCTATTTCGGTTTCTTTTCTTGTTTTACTTTTTACCACATTTTATTTTTGCTTTTATTAATATTTTACCTCAATTAATGTTGGTTGGTTGGCATAGAAGCTTTACGACAATAAACTCTTACAAACCAATATCTCTTATTTTTGCCTTGATTTCTTCCTGTTAAAAATATTCCAATGGAGATTAATGCAAATTTTGTTTATTTCTGCATTGAGCTTTAAGTCTGCATTGTTGTTCATTTTCCTTCTGACAACAGCAACTCTATTTCAATAATTTTCGCAAGAAGAATGTAACCAGAAATGACAAAACCAAGAAAATTATTCCCCAGCGGGACTTGCAACGCTAAAATTCGCGATTTGTTTCCCCCACGGTGGACACAGTCAATATTCCAATGTGGCTTTGCGCTAAAACAAACAAACAGATAAAACAAGATAATTTGAAGTGTACCAATATAGTCAGCATCAGGACATTAAGACTGACAAGATTTTACAGTTTTCGCAAAATGTGGACACGTATATTTCGACACGCTAGTTAAGCTTGCTAACATTTCTATTTGAACAGAAATATAAAAAAAAATGTAGCTGCTAAAATTTCTATTGATACAAGTATTTTTGCAAGCATTATTATATTTTTATGTATGTTCTCTGTAGAAAAGCGCCAAGTGATCTATGAAGAGGACGAGATCCCCAAAACTCCTCAGCCAAACAATTTTTCTCTTGTGGTTCCGACCTCGAGAGGTCCTCTTCGACTGCAAGCTGCTAATCATGGAAACTCAAACAGTTATCTTCAAAATTTAGGATCCTTTGATAATCTCTTTGATCTTGGAGGTTCGGAGAAACTAGGCTTTGAAAATGATGCTTTTCGTTCTCGGTCTAATAATGTACAAGTTGGACTTTTGTCGAAAGTAAAAAAACGAATCAAGAATTATTTTCCTTATAATAGGAGTTTTTCCGAATATCGTACTTCTAATGCTACCAAACGTTTTGAAGACATTCCTCATTTACCACCACAAATAAGACAGGATCTTCCTCAAAGTAGAAATAACATTCTCCGTCTCATTGACGATAGAAATGAATCATCTGAAGACACTCCATCGAGTTTAATGATTAAACGTCAACACACAGATGATATAAATAATCAACATGGAACATATGGCCCAACAGATCTAGTTTCTGTCCTTCAAACACAAGATGGTTTACCAGCATATTCAGCTCCTGGTGGAATCACTGTGAAACAGTTTAGTGGGGACTTTCAACGTGATGTTTCCTTCAATGGAGCTAGTTTCCTTAACACTTACAGACCTATAGATAAAGACAGGCTGGAACTGTGTATGAAAACACTGATAAGGACGAGGTATCAAATATTCCTTTTCAAGCAATCAAGTTTATTGATCAAGCAGAAGTACTGGGAAAATATGAAAATCAACCAATTTCTACAGCAACAAGAACACTAAGTAGAAACCCTCATTCTAGACTGCAGGTTTTTAAAGACTTTGGTGCTAAGACCATGTTAGCTACTAAACAATTTCCTGGATTGAATCAACGTCAAAATTTTCACTCCTTGCTAAAAGCATTTAACCCTCAAGATTCTTCATCAACACAAAGAGATCAGTTTTCAGCTTCCAACAAAGGAAATAGATTTTTATATTCACAAGCAGAATTTTTGGCATTAAAAAGACCAAGTGTGCAAAAAGGATTTAGAAATTCACAATTCAGTGTGATTCGACCAGTGGATAGTAGATTATGGCGAAGTGAAAGGTCTATTTCTAAAAGCAATGTAAATGAAAGTTTAAATAATTATTCCAAAGTAGATGATCGTTTTAATGTTCACAGTGAAATTATTATGCCTCAATTCCAATATTCATTAATATCTGATGTTAACCATATTAAGGCTGCTACTGAATTTCTTCCAGTCTTGGGATCTTATAGGTTTCATGAGAATCGAGGATTCCATGGGCAAAACCCATTCTTTGGAAATTATGGAGGACGTCAACATAATGGTGAGTGGTTCAATGGACCACCATTAGGACATGGAAAACCATATCATTCTAGCAGTGACAGCAAACCTAGAATAGATTTTCTTGTGGAAAGCCGAGTTCCTCCCTTATCCATTTTCCACGCTTCTGAAGCTCGGAGGTATGGTTACAGGCCACTTGGAAGTGGTAATTTTGATATCATCAGTGGGGGAATTTATGGTGATGTCGAATCGTCTTCCAATCACATACCGCATGTTTACCATAGTTCTGAAAGTTTCTCACCAGGGTATATTAATGGTGGATCACATTCTGATTTTGCGACTGAACAATTTTTTGATGGGAAGTTAAAGTTAGGTTTCCAAGGATATGACCATTTCCAAAGCTTTCTGAATAATGCCCTTTTTAAGCAGCAAAGATCTACGGAGAGTAACCACAGCATCAGTTCAGCTGAACAGCTTATGGCATCTACATCAGATTTAATGGCACAAGACTAAGACAGTTTAAAAGGTTAACTTAAAGAATAGCAATGAGGAACATGACTAATAACAACACTCAGTTGAGTCAGAAGCATTGACCTTTTAAAGCAAACATAATATTCTCTCTTATCATAGAACATTGTTCTTTCAAAATGTTTAATTGTATTTCAAATTACGGTATTCGGTTAGCACAAACAGTCAACATTATTTATACAACTTTGTTTGCTCATGACGAGCGTAAACATTTTTTTGTGTTAATTCTGAATGGTTAGTTTGCCTCTGAGGATCAAATATGGACGATGTTTTGAAAATTTTACGTCTACCTTAATCGGAAAGTATATAATCATACTTACATTTGTTAACGTCTGTCTTTGAAATCTATTAAACAAAACCATTTCTTCTTTCACAAGAAAGCTGACATGTATTAGTTTATTCTTTTATTTTTTCCATATGTAATTTTGTGCCCCTTATTAATAGACTGTTTAGCGCAGGTGGCCCATATGCTTTGCGCCTTTAAACCGACAACAACAAAAAATCGCATTTTTAGCTTTTTATGAGTCATCCATCTTTTTCATTCAATTTAATTTTTAACATAATTTACGGGCAATGTTCAATATATATATATATATATAGTCTCGTTGCTTTGCGCCATAAAGCCATAACCAACAACCAACTTTAAAATTTTCAAAACCACAAAACTTCAAGGTATCTTAGCTAAGTTTCAATGGAATTATGTAAATACAGAAAGTAGAAACACAAGGCTGTGAAACAATGATTCGTGCAATATTGCTGTATGCCATTCAACACTGGAGGCAGGAAACCTAGAACTAGACAAAAAACCGTAACTGATTTGATTCTGGGCAGAAATATATTCAAAAGTTCACAAATGTCAATCGATGCCTGACAGAGATAGTATGGATAACTGTGTATCAGTGTAAAACTACCACATTTCAAAGCAAACTGTTCGGAAAAATTTTGAAAAAGGATTTTTTTGTATTCGTTCTGTAACTCCATTGTATGAATATCAAGTCCTGCGACGTTTTCTTCTTTGTACAAAAAAATACTATAATTTTCTTTTCAAATTCACGAGCGGGTAGATTGGTTTATCGTTGCCTTTTCTATCTAATAAACATAATCTTGAATGAAATATTTGAACATCAGAAATAAGTTCAACGGTACATTTCTGGAACCATTCACAAGTACCACACGGTCTCTTGAGTTATTCTTATGGAGGTTCACCTAAGACAGTGTGCAGAGTCTAAAAAGTGTCGCGAATAAGATTCTTGTCTAAGCATTGAAAATACTGAAGAAAGAATACAAATAAAATTGTACAAATAATTATAGACAATGAAAACAAGATTTTTTTCCATTGCTTTTGACTTCCATATTTTTCATATAGTGTAAAATCTTGCGTGTAGAGTAATCTCAGGCTTGATAGACGGTCGTTTTTTCTTATGCTTTTTGTTATAATTATTTCGAATATGCAATTGTATCACAAAACCTCTTGATATTCCCTGAAACGAGAAATATGTCAGAAGTATATTGATTACAAAACAAAACCTAAATGAGGATATCACCCACATGGCATTCTAAACGTTAGAACAATCACGAATAATGGGGTCATTAAGGTCTACAATAGATTATTATAACTTTGTTTTTGACAAGTGTAGTTAAATTTTTCACAATTTAAAGCACACATGCTCATGTATTTGTAGCTTACTATTTTTCACTAGTAACAAACGTATAAAATATAGTTTACCCAGAAAAAAATTGCGAACAGCCTATGGGGGGGATGAGAAGACGAAACTCGGAGGGAAAGGCATGAGGGAACGAAAACGTATAAATATCTTATCCTGGGATTTTTGTTTAGATAACAAAACATGGAATAAACATGCAGTGTGTAAATGCTACAGACATTTGGATCAATTGGAACGTGAATACGTTACACAATAGGAAATAATTACATTCTTCCTTCCTGGGAGGCAAAACGTTTGGAGAACAAAGACTGGTCTCTCTGAGGTCTTATTGATGGATAAATCTTACGTCTCAAGTTATTCAAAATTATCAGACGTTGAAGTGACGTACATCCAGAACAATATGCATTATTCATAGACTTGATATATGCCACGTAAATAAGCTCGATGATGAGAAAGCAGAGGCTCGTGCTGAACCCGATGCCTAAGACGTACAAACAAGCGGTGAGGTGAGTAATGCCGATGACTCTTGTATCCCCAGCCTGTGGCTTCGATATCATGGTGCACTGATTTTCTTCCGAGTAGTAATTACTTCGCCACTTCATTATCAAGCCAGATTCCATATAACGCGCGATCCTGCGAAGAATATGGAGTGACAAACGTCATAAGTATTTTTATTTCGTCACATAATAGTTTCTTAATTTATATTTTGGATACAGCCATATAATCTTGTTTTAAAACTTAAGAGATATGTAGACAGTTATAAATGATAATTTTTTAAAAGGGTTACACACCATTATCCGTCAGCAGTTTGACTTAAGTCGATATTTTATCATAACTTTTATTTAATCACAAACATTAAAATTATTGACAAAATATGTAAATATATTACAATTCAATTAAATGAAAATAATATTCAATATATTTTCATGTGCTGAGTACTTTAAGAAACGTAATACGTTCGGTCTGAATTTGGTAGGTATGGTTAGTTGTATATCTACAACCTAGATTTGCATTTATAAGTTATTTTGTTTTACAGTAAATCATGAATGTTCAAATGGTTCCTTTGATGTGCATTAAATGTAATTTGTAAACAATCTTTATGTTTATAAAAGTCACATAGACCATTTTTCTAGGTCTGATGTGCTTAAAATCAATATTTGTTTAATGGCAGATATCTAAATAATCAACTTGGTAATTAATAAGCTAAAGATATCAAACGGATTTTCACTAAACTTTACTTCATTTCAGCTAGTTTTTAACCCTAATCTGGGGCTGTCGACAAAGAAAACAGGCAATTGTACGTAAGGTGTTTTTCTTCTTCTATTTCTTTTGGACTTGTGATGGTTCTTAGAACAGCCCCACAAAATGATTGTAAACCTACACACTTTTAAATGTGATGGAAAACATTTGATTTACTTTGCTTATGATGCTTATCCACAGTCAGATGGAAAATTGGTACAGAATATAGTAGTTCTAATTTCGTATAAAATAACAAGTTACATATAAACACAGTTCTTTTTAAAAAGAAAAACATGGTACTTTCCCATTGTGTAAATCAGTGCTAAAACAATCGCTGATGAGACTCCCTCGCCTTTTGATTTTGGTTCATTTCCCCAGTTCCCCTATGAGGGGGCAAGTCTCCTTTCAAAAATATTCCAGCTATAGTTTATAACTGATGTCTCTAAGTATGCTTCTGCTTCGCTACGAAATTTGTAGATGTGTTTTAAAATGAGGTGTCCAAATAGAATGTTTTACTTGGGTGAATTTGGCAGTTTTGTTTATTTTTAAACCATTTTTCCTATACCCTATACGTCTTATATAGGGCACGTATTCTTCTGACACTCGATTCACGATAGGCCACGTTTTACTGTCATACCGTCGTTACGATTATGAGCGGCGGCACCATTTCAGACATGTGCTTTCTACGGGTTTACCCCTGACTTTGGACAGTGTAATTGACGATGGTGACACTGTCCAACTTGATTGTGTTTTTAACTTTTTACGAGCCATCGGTCTTTTTTTTATTATATTTAAGATTTTTACCTGTTTTGGGGTATTGTTTAGTTTTAGCTTGTTTTCTTTTTACTTTATTACATTTTTTTACCGGTTGTTTGGCACAGATAGCCCCGTAGCTTTGCACCAATAAGCCCCAAACAACATCAACGACACTTATTTTGTATACACACAACTTATTTCGATTAACTTCATTTTATTCTTCTGCACAAAAAAATGATATTTTTTAGTACAAATAGCTTTTGTTGCTATGCGTCAAAAAGCCTTGTAACAACAACGAAAAGTATCATGTCAGTCTAGTCACTGGTACTTTTAACTAACACTGGTATACCGACTTTGTAACTTTCATAAAATTCTACAGACCCCGTATTACTGAAGTTACAAATGCACATATGTCTCTCAACTAACTTTGTATTTTGTGTTATATTGTACATTTAAATGTATGAGCATACTTACCTCAGCATGATATAATCTAAACCAATACTTACTCCTCATTAAATTCATCCAAGTAGGGCCAATTTTCTGGAACAGCCATAGACAGAGATTCATACAAAATGTTTTCTTTTCCCAGAATATATTCACATTTCTTGGTGCGAGAAAGTTCCCTCTTGATAATTGCCATTAATCTGGACTTCGCTCCTATAAGAACGAAGTTCTCATCCCTAACTTGACGAAGGACTTCTGCTTCATCAGTGTACTTGAAAAAATTTAACCCATTGTTTAATTCTTTCAGTCCTCCAGAAGGAGCATACTATTGGTAAAGGAAAAACAAAATGATATTTTGATGTGAGTCACAAAGAAGAAGATCTAAGTGAAAAATGTAAACATAAACTTTACAGCATTTACAATTCCCCTAGTATTTCGATCATACTATTAAGTGCATAGTCAATATTAACCCTATAAATTCAAAATACCAGAATGGTAAACAAATTGCTTAACTGAAAAAAAAAACACTACATGTGGTATCATTTTTAAAATATTTATCTTGTGGATTGTCTTGGGCATAGGACGGTGTCAATGGCGATGGTGTCATTGTCCAGGTCGATCGTATACTTTCTAGGCAGCTGTTTGTAGGATCCCCAAAATCTCGATACACTGGCAACAGTAGCCTTGTACCAGATATTCTCCTGGCTGCCAACGGACACGGAATGCTTAGAAACTGGATTGGGATATCTTCAGCATATATCGCACTCTTCCCAACCAGCAGGCTCGTGTCCATTCCTAGCAAGTCAGATGTCAAACCCAGAAGGAATATTGAATTACGTTCACTTCCAGTATCTGTTCCACCATTAGTTCAAGGTCATATTGGTAAATATTCTAAAGGTAAGTAGAAGTATACCTTCCTTCTTATTTTGTAGTCCAATGGTTTACAAGGTACTTTCAACACCACTGGGGAGTTCTTTCTTTCTCGCTTTTACAGCTCATCAAACTTTCCTTCTACCTTCTTGGCTATCAAGTTATCACCACCACCTTTTTGAGCTGATAGTCTCTATGATTATAATCGACCATTTACTAAGATGGAACTTAAAATTGCTCTATCTTGGACTGGAAATTCATCAAATGGGTCAGATGGCATTCACTATGAGATGTTGCGCCATCTCTCTCCTGCCTCTTTTGCTCATGTTCTGGTTGTTTTTAACTGGAGTTGGCAGGCAAAGGATTTTCTAAAAGCACGACACAGAGCTATTATGATCTCCTTTTTCTAAGCACTTGTGACAATGCTTTGAAGAAGTTGGATACTCCTGACTTGAAGTATTATTTTTTCGAATTTGTCCTCTATTTTAATTTTTACGGCTGGTTCGACATCATGTGACTACGTGGACTCCGCTATGGCTTCCTGTGGCTCTGTGCTCTGTGTTCCCTTTTGAGTTATATGCCATTTTTCTTGCTATGGATCACGTTGAAGCTAATCTATTTGTACAATCTATACTTAATCGCCTAGCTCTTTAAAGACTCTGAAATTGCTTAACATGAGTTCTCACCTAGTTCTCTTGGACATTGAGAAAATACTAGATCATTTTTTGGTGTCATCTATCGCTCTTCAATTGTTTCTGAGTTCCTTGCCATGTTGATATTTGAAAAAATAAGCCTCCTGTCACCGCAGCAAAATCTGTCTGCTCTGGTAAAGTCACAGCCCTACCAATCACTATGTGGACTTCAGGCGTATCATCAAAACAAGGCTAAACGCCAATTAGCAGTCGATTTGGGGTGAGAAACATTACAACAAGTTTTTCAAATAAACTATCTTGTTATTATTTAGCCGTCTAGATTACATAGGAATCGGAGAAAGGTAGTTGTCTTATCCAGTCTCCACATTGGCCACATTTTCATAACTCATCGATTTCTTTATCAAGGGATTGATCCGCCAATGTGTGGCCTTTGTAACACTCGAGTCACAGTTACCCACTTTTTACTTTTCTTGCCAGCGCTACGACTACAAACAGCATCATCATTTTAGTAATATTTTATCTCGAGGTTTGCCTTTGACGTTGAATAGTGCCATTGACAACAGTAATACTGTCCAGACTAATCACGTTTTTAGGTTTTTACTAGCCATTGTCTCTTTTAATTCAATTTACTTTTTTAACCTTGTTTCCCCCCAAAAAAGATAACTTTTTAGCATATTCCTTTTATCTACTTTTTGTCATGTTTTACACCCATTTTTTATTGTTTTTACCATTAGTACAGACTGTTTGATGCTTTGTGCCCCAACCAACAACAATGGTTATTTTATACTCTCTTCCGCATTTTATCTTGCTTTTTTATTTTTCTAATTTAACTGACATAAAACAAAACTAGCGCAAATGGCCTGGAGCTTTGTTCAACAAAGCCCAAACAATCAATCAGATCATTTTGCTTACCTTGAGATACTCGATAATTGCTTCTCCTTCAAACACTCCCCATTTCAGATATTGTTTTTGATCAAGAATGTCTTGAAGACTATTTACAGGATTGTGAAGTTTAGGAAAAGTTAGGAATGCTACCAGGCTGCCACTATACGTTGTTACTACAATGATAACAAAAAACCACCAGAAACTGATCAACACTCTCCCAGATGCTGCTTTGGGTAAATGCACGCCACCTAGATGAAAATAAAGTGACATAGGTATATATTCTAAAGCGAATTATAGCAAGAAAAAATTATTTACTTATAAGCTCTTTTCATAAAGTTACCTAATATCTGCAGTCCAAATAATGATTACAATTACAAATGCACCAGACTTGAATCTTGAAAGTCACTCCACATCCTTTAGAACAGAAATCGAGGAATTCCTATATTAATTTAAGCTGTTTTGTTATTTCTCAGACTGTAAACCATTAAATTGTAATATGCTTTATAGACCATGCAAATGGCACAAAATACAAGAAATTGTAATGCGTAAAAAGCTTGAAGTAAAGCAAAATTACTGAAAAGTATCAGTTTTCTCAAATAATAATGAACTTGTAACAAATATACTGAAGCAGTCTGTATAAAACAATAGCATTATAGTATAATACTCTATTTTACAAATACATGTATATACAAAAGCGTGTTTAGTCAAAATATATTTTCTAAATAAAATAAACATTTCTATGACTTGAAAGTTCTATGCAAATGTGCAGAATGAATGATGTCATTGTTGACTGTGGGAGATCAGATAACTCAATCATAACTGGCCAATGACGATCAATGGTATGGTATCATTGACGAGTTAGTTATCAGCTAGTAGCGCTGAAGTATGAATAAAACTCCAATCTCTGGCTTCAAAATGCTATGAATTGCTACGTATCACACTGAAAAATGAAATGAAGAATACGACCGTTTCCTCGTTGAACAATTGAGATTTCAACTTGAAGATGAATTGTTACGTCCAACTTTTGGGTGTGCCAGCGAGAAAAAACCCACACTTTACACCAAGAAAGTTCAATCTTCACGACAGTGAATAATTAGTTGATGATGTGAAAATATTATGTATAAAAGTGTATTATAGAAAGTTTATAGAGAATAGTTTTGAAAGAACAGATAGATATATTTTCTTAAAATTAAGACGGAGATGAATTTACCTGCCTGAAACGTCTCGTCCTCACTTACCAGACGATAGAAATTTTTGATGACTGACTTCCAAACACGGAAAATCTAGTACGTTCAACCTTCAAGACAGTGCATGTTATTTATTAATTCATGTAAATACATCTATAAAAATTATATTTTAGAAAGTTTAAAAGCTCAATCAAAAATCCAGAATGAAAAATTGCCTCTGCAAGATAAACTAGCGACATCTATCGAAAGAAATATGATACAGACGAGAAAGGAATTTTGCTTTCATTGTTTGGTTAGCATTTATTTTTCATCCTCACTCAAAATTATCTACTAGTGGGTCCTTGGTTAATTTAACTAGAAACATTTACTTGATGTATTGGGAGTCCTCTGGTTGTGACGTTTGAAGTTTTTGCCATTTCAAAAGCTTAACTTCTTTAAATTCAACCAAGTTCTAAAGAATTGGGATAAACATTAAACACAACGACTTCTGACAAAGGATTGGAACCCAATCTTGGTAATTAGAGTGAATTTTCCAGGAAAGACTATGCAATATTTAAACAATGGATAACATAGACATTTTATGCCTTTCTATTCGTCAGATTTTTGAAGACGTGTTTCGGGAGATTTTTAGGCCCCTTTCGGACAAATGGCTACAGAATTTTAGCCCTATGAAATTAAATTTTAGTCCTTTTGAGTTTGATATACAACTTTATCATAATAAACTTGAAGAACGAGATGTCTGATATGTTTCTTTTTCTGATCTTAAGTGTGATTTTCATGGAGCAGCTTTTGTCGCTTGGTGTCGCATTCCGTTTAGTTATTTGTTAATTTTCTTGTTGAATTTAATGCGAAGTTACTGGAGAGCTATCTGCGCTAGCTGTCCTTAATTTTAAAGTTCTTGACTATCTGTCATCCTTCAACTCAACCCACCAGCAACTGTGTCTATTCTTTACCAAAGAGTAGTGGAACTGACTGCATGTTATAACGGCCTCAAGGCTAAAAATGAGAGCATGTTTCTTAAAACAGCAGTTAAATTCGTCAGATATTCTCACTCTATATCCTTCTCGTTCTTCTTGTGTATTGAAATGTTATGAGTTGGGAGGACCTCCTCGCTGAATTACTCCTCCTGTCTGAGCATTTCCGACTTACCATTGTCAACAATGACATAATCAATTTTCTCTGAAGACCAAGCATTACGTCATAGCACAGGTCCGAAATTGCTTAACCTCCTATTGTCAACAAGAAGAACTCTAGATGGCAACGCATGCAGGAGGTTCCATTTTTTTAGAGTGTTTTGACCCTCCTAATAAGTAACCACGTTTGTAAACCCTACCCCAATAGACGATGACATCTGTCATCCAAAATCATTTTAGTTTAATTTATAGCTACGTATTCAGAAGTTAGGCTTTACCTTGCAAAATAAGCGAACCAAAACAATACCAATAGCAGTTGGAAAGCTGGAAAAGTCCTTTATTGTTCACTAGCTGGTGATATTCGTAGTATTTGCTGTATCTGTTAATCAAGTGGAGTACAGGACTGATGATCACGACGGAACAGATAATACACAGATAAGTCTAAAGAAAAGGACAAACATTTCAACGTCTTCTGTTGTGTTTAAATAAATATTCTAAGTACAAAAAGCAATTTATAGATTTATTTTCAAAAAAAAAAGAAGAAAAAATTGAGAAATAGAATAGTGTAATTTATTCTTTACATATAAAAAAAGTTTGCTTTGCTTTTGTATTTGCAAAATATAAACAGACCAAACATACAGTTGGTGTGAAAGTGATTTGTGGCCATTATTAGAAAAACCTATACACTGGATAGGTGAAGTGATGAAAAAAGCGTCATTGGCCACTATTCAGTTTTACACATTATATAACTACACAATAGCAGATATAATAAATAAACTTAGTATTCCGAAGTTCAGGGGTGGTCCAGTTCAATCTACACTTTGATCAACGTGTGTTATTGGGTTATATTAGTTTTATATACTACTAGTATAACCCAATCACTCGTTGATCAAAGTGTTGATTGAATTGGACCTCCCTTGAACTTAGACTTAGATTGTTTGTTTGTTTGTTTTTGTAATTTCTACGCTAAAGCTACACGAGGGCTATCTGCGC